ATCTGCACCCCTTCCGTCCAACACTCCTCCTTTATCCGGACTTGTGACCGGCATAGAGACCACAAAATAGTGGTCTTCATGGTGGAGTTATTTATTTATATTAGAGATTCAAAAATAAAATAATATATAGAATTGATATATTCTATTTAAAAACAAAAATAAATCTCATTTATTATCTTTATTTATGTTTGGTTTATTTCGATTTAATAAAATAGTTTCTTAATATTGAAATGACGGGAAAAAAACTGATAAATTATATTCGAAAGATATAATATATTCAAAGAATTTTTTTCAATAGAAATCGAAATAACTCGATCGATTTAACATATATTATACGAATGGAAGATATTTATTGAAATAAATCAATTACCTTTGCACTTATTATATATTTATTTATTCAAATTCTAAAAAAAGAGCAAACTCTTAAGGCCCCCCCCCCCCACTCAAAAATCGATCTCAGCTCAGGAAAGTTCAAATGGGCTGAAACTTGGAGCATATGTTGGGGCTGAAGTGAGGAGGCTGTGGTAAAATTTTCAGCTCGATACCCTGATGTTTGACAGAGATATGAACCAAACAAGGGTCAAAAATAGCTCATTTGGCAATCCATTTTTTTTTGTCCAGGCTCTTTCAATATATTTATTTATTTTTTGCTTGAAAGAGCATCTCAGGATGCAGTGCAGTACAGAGTCCTTTTTTTTAAATTCTTACTTTTTTAGCGGAAAAAGGGGATCACAAGTTCAATGACTCAAAAAACGCGCCAAAAATGGGTGTCTAGTTACATAAATGTCTGTATATATAATAAAAAACAAGCGTAATTTAAAAAAAGGACTCTGTACTGCACTGCATCTTGACGTGCTCTTTCAAACAAAGAAAATCTAAATATATTGAATGAACCTGGACAGAGAAAAATGGATTGTGCGGTTCAGAACGCCTAAACTGAGAGAAAACGAAAAACATTTTTCGTTTTTTTCGAAATAAGCATATTTTTCAAGAAGACGTTGACGGAAATCATCAAAAATCTTGTCCGAAACGGGAGTGTCGGCTTAAAAATCATATTGTTTCCGAAAGATCTGAAGACGGGCTATCTTTTTTGATGCAATTATCTCAATTTCGAAATATTTGATGAAAACGGACATTTTTTGAGTGAGGGGGGGGCCTTAAATAACCCTAATTAACGTTGAATAGCCGCAAGACATCGATCCAGTTGAGAAAAGGAGAGGAGAAACTTTTGGACTGTTACAAGACAGACTTAATATTTCATTGTGAAACTCCCAGTCTTGAAACATTTGATTACAGGACAGCTACACGACAACCACATCTGATTGATTGAACTTCTCGACTGAAAAGCCTGATTGAATAAAAACAGGATAGCTAAAACATTTCACTGGCTGAACTCTCAGCTTGATAAAAATCTCATTGGACAAGAGCTGAAGAGTGAAAATATCTGATTGGCTGAACTTCTTGTCCCAGAAAACATCATTGAACGAGAGCTAGTCAGCTAAAACATCGTATTGGTTGGAATTCCAGCTTAAAAGAATCTGATTGGTCGGAAGCTCGGTATCGAAAACCTCCCATTGGCTAAACTTTGAGCCTGAAAGAATCTGATTGGTCGAAAACTCGGTATCGAAAACCTCTGATTGGCTCAACTTTCATCCTGAAAGAATCTGATTGATTCGGGACGCCCGATATCGAAAAACCCTGACTGGCTGGAATTTCAGCTTGAAAAAATCTGATTGGTCGAAAGTCCAGTATCGAAAACATTTAATTGACCGGAATTTCAGCTTGAAAAACCTGATTGCAGATTGCGAGATTCAATTTCTCAGTGATATGGAAAGCAGAACCCGCACATATACCCCTCATTCGATAGAGCGTCCCCGATAACCCTAGGATCGGCTCCAACATGATTAGCAGTTGTCCTCATATTAAGAAAGAAAAGTCCTCCTGAAATCTGATTGGTCCATTTTTCGACCAATCAGACACCGAAGAAACATACGAATTTCCATTTTGAAGACTCCGTTCTTTTAGGATGAAGAAAAACGTCTACCATTGAACTTTTAAGGCGATGTTTTTTGGACGTTTGACCCCCAACAAACAAACAGACAAACGCATTGTTTTTTTTTCGTATGACCCTCTCTTCAGTCGAAGGAATAAGCTTTTTTATTATCATATACAAGAATACCTCTATAGAAACGGCGCCATTTTTTAGGAGTTTTTTGAGCCATTGAATCTGTCATACCCTTTTTCATTTAAAAGTAAGTATTTAAAAAAAGGACTCTTTAGTGCATTGCATCTTCACATGGTCTTTCAAACAAAAAAAATAAATAAATATGTTGTACGAGCCTTGACAGAGAAATCGTGTTTACCAAATTTGCTATTTTTGACCCTTGCCTAATGAATATCTCTGTCAAAAGTCATGGTATCAAACTAAAAATTTTGCTATAGCCTCCCTGTTACAGTTTCAACATATCTTGAAAATTTCAGCCAATTCGGACGTTTCTGGGCTGAGATTGATTTTTGAGTGGAGGACTTAAATATAGATTAAACAGCAGGATTTTAACTGAAGATCTAGAAAGGCCTAATTATTAGTATGACGGATATAATTGCTTGAGGCAAAGATAAATAAAAGGGATCATCAAAGATCAGATATCAAACTAAAGATATTGAATAGATGCATCCAAGATCTGTTAGCACTTTTGTACCTTGCATCTTGGCTAAGATCTTGCTTACAAGATATTCGACTACCCAGGTCGAATATTATGACGACCAGATATGACCGTATACGACACAGACAACGCCGTAAAACGATACACTCACTTTCCATTAGAATCCAATAAATTAGACAGATGATTGTTTAATATTACGGTATCTCGAAAAAGGCCTTAAAGGGTGTAGGCGTGGGTGTGGATGTGGCTGTAATTTATGTCGATACATATATTCTGGCATGCGTATCCACATCCACCTACAGCCACCCGTTATCATGAAGAGTTCTTGTTGTACTTTTTAATTGAAATGATAGTGTGCGTATCATTCGTTATTATTCACAATTTTATAGATAAAACAAACATGTTTTATTTATTAATTATCAAAACACACTTGAACATAATTTTCTTGCTTGAATTACCAAAATATAGAATTGTTTTACACACACACATATGCACACGGGAATATATGTATATGAAAGACTAATAGAAAAGAAAGGAAACGTTTTTTGTTTTTTCTTTTAGCCGAGTACAGCCGTTGTCACTTGAGTATTAATACCACATGTACCTTTACCACGTAAAATACGAAAATAACCCTGTTCACCCCAATTAACACCCCAACTATTTTTCACAATCCAATAAGGTTTTGATCCTTCTTTTCCCCAACCGACAAGAAGTACAGCATGATCAAGGTTTTTTGGATTACAAAAAACTGGATTAAAAATTCCTTTATGATAGAATTGTAATAATTCAGCATTGAGTGCAACAGATAATGGACCAGTATTCATTAAAGCAGCTGTAATATTTGTTTCATCCTTAAAATTAATAAAAAGAAAAACAATAGAATTTCTACTGTAAATCTAATAAAAATATTTTACTTCATCAATTGCTTTCCAATCGACTACTTTAAGACCTGATACAAATTGTGTTGAATCAAGTCTACTTTCACAACTATCTTTTATATAACAAAATGGAATTGGAGGACCACATAAAGTTTTATTATAGCCTGGAGCATTACAAGGTTCACATGGTTTTTTTATTCCAGCACAATAAGGATAAGTTGATTCAGATTCAATACCACCCTATTTGATTATTTTTAGAATAAATTATTAAAACGGAAAAGTTAATATTTACTTGTTTCATTAAATATTGAAAACTAAGAAATGGCCAACCACCATAAACACCACAATCAGCTTGTCCTCTAAATAAAAAATACAAAAATCTCCATATCATTTTTATTAATCTTTATATCGATACGAACGAATCAGGTCTTTGCATGCCATCACAATCGACTATTTGTTCAACAGATAAATTTGTTAATGTTTTACTTTTTATAGACCATTGACCTTCGACATTTTGAACAGTTGAAAAAGCCCAACATGTACCCACCGATCCTACGAATTGAAATCATAATTAAACAAATCTTTCCTTCACTTTACTTTTCTTACCTTGATCTTTTACTGGTGTAACTGCATTATGATCTCGCCAATCGAATGAATCAGGTAGATCTCCAACAGTTGGAATCTCCATATATCTATCATAGCAAAGAAAAAAACAAGGGTGTATTTGAACGAGATAAATGATATATTTAGATGTAAATAACCTTGATCGAGAATGTATAGGTGGTGCTTGAGGACGCATTAAAATTGTATTTCGAAATTCATCTTCTGTTAGATCAGCGAATTTATTCAATTCAAATGTCATATCATCTCTTAAAATATACAACAAATCATATGAGACAAAGAAAAATATGTAAATCTTCTACCCGAAAACTTCATTTAATTTTTGAATTTGAATATAATTTTCTTTGAAAATACTCATTCGTTGTTGATATTCAGCAAATGAATCATATTCACGATCGCTGCGATCAAGCCAATTTCTTTAGAAAATTATACGAAAAATTTATAGAAATATTTTAAATATAACAAAAACAAAATCTAATTCATACTTAAAAAGAATTTCTAAGTGTCCATCAGATATATCATAACTAAATAAAGACAAATATATTTATAAAAAAAAAATATTATAATTATAAATGTTACTTTTTTGTTAACGTAGCAAAATTTAAAACGATAAGACATACGGCAATAGCCGTTCGAAATATCAAACTATTCTGCATGAGGTCACAATCTAAAAGTGAAGAAACATCATTATATAGACTTGTTATCATTACTAAAACAAAGATAAATAAAAAATTTATCATGTCATTTCAGTAAAGATATGCTTTCAGTAAGATTCGTTCTCTCAAAAAATAGAAGACTTTCGTTGATCTTATGATAAATTGCAACTCGTTGATTTATACTAGTTGTAAATTTTTAAATAAATAATGCAACATCCTATTAAATAATTAGGATGAAAATGAAACTAAGGATATGAAAAGGTTTATTTCTCAAAAAGCAATTGAATAGATTACGTTACAATGCTCTTCTAAAAAAAATGATAGTATAATTGAAAGAGAGATATATTTTAATTTTGGTATATGTTAAGGGAACAATTACAATGAGAAACACAAATATTAATAATAGGAAAATGTTCTTTGATGTAAAAGAAAAGATGAGAATGTTACTTTATAACATCAAAGCAAAGGAGAAAAATAAAACTTGGTCTAATTCATGTCTATTTCTATTTGGTTGACACACGTGTTCTTTTATTCCAAGAAAAATTCGCTCCATATGTCTTCTTGAAACGAGGAGTTGGAGTTGATTCAGCAATTTCATATTTATAACCTAAAATTGAAATCATAAATAAATTAATAATCAAATTTAAAAAACACAATCTATAAAGTAATACTAACCCATACGTTCACAATAAATTATAGCATCTTCTTTAGTAGCAAATTCGACGACAACTGATGAATGAGGATCAGAACTAGAAATATTCTTTCATATTTAAAAACAAGAACTTTCTTTTTTTAGAGAAATATACTTACGATGATGCCCAACCCATTAATGGATTTTCCCAACGTTCTTTTGTGTCCCATTCAACTTTCCATTTCTTTGTATTATTTGTTCCCGATTGCATAGCATTACGAGCCGATACAAATATACGACAACGTCGTTCTTTGAACATATTTCGAGGTACACCCGATAAAATACCGACTGATTCCTATACATGAAAAAAAAAAATTTCAAAAATCAAATAACATAAAACTTGATTTACATCTTGTCGTGGCATTTCACCGAGAGGACTGGAATCAATCGGTTTTTGTGTATCGACAGCTGTACGACCCCATACGTTTTGAATATCAAATAAAGTTCTATAAATAAACATAATACATTTTTTCGAACAAATCTTTTCGAGATTCATCGAGATAGAATTAATCAATCTCAAAATCTATACGGATACAATCCTAACTTTCCTATATAAAATTCTTAATTAGATTAAATATAAACTACGAGGAATTCATTTTTATGATAAACAACAATATATCCCATGAGAAAACATTTTCAAATAATCAATCGCTTTTGAATTCAGACTCTGTGCATAAGATAAACTATAGTAAAGTATAAAAAATCTCAAAAGGATAAGTCGTCTTAGACCTTCTATATAGAGTTATAGACATTTTACTGAAATTTTAGTCTTGGACATGTTAAATATCAACAAATCGAATGACGATATTTTGTTCACAGACAGATTTATTTGTCAGTATTCGATTTGTTGGTATATATCATATCTAGGAAACTTATCCTTTTGAAATTTTTCATATCTCACTAAAGTCTAACTTATATAAAGAGTTTAAATTCAAAAAAAAAACTATCAATGATTACCTTTGAGGAATAGAAAATAAATTGATTCGTGATGGTTGAACAATAGATTTTAATAAATTCATCTACAAAACAAACAAAACCAAACTTTATATACTATTATGACAAATATTTAAAAAAGTTTCCAGCTAAAATACTAGCAAGTATCATCAAACCAGTAATACGATTTGATGCAAATGTATTCCAACAAGATTGACTTTTATTTAAATTAACATTTTCAATTTGTTGATGAAGATGGTAACTAACAGCAATTAAACCTACATAATACGGCCATGTTTGATCAACACTTAAACCTGCTGTAATTAAATGTGAGATCATTCCAATAGAAAAAGCTCTTAACCATAATTTTGTATCATGTTTAAGACGTAGAGCTGTTGATTTGACACCAACAATTAAATCATCTGTTGTATCTTGATGTGCATAAATTGTATCATAATGAAGTGTCCAAGCAATACCAGCAAAATATAGTGGTAATATAATTGATGGAAAAATGATTCCTGTTGCTGCTGTAAAACCCATAAGTGCACCCCTACATATTGTTCGTTTTTTTTTTGAAAAAAGAAAACCTAACTTTTTCAATTCTACAAAAATCAAAAATGTATTCTTACCAATTAAATGTTATTCCAAGAAAAAATTGTGGCCAATAAGTATATCGTTTCATTAAAGGATAAATAATAACAGGTATTAATGATATTATTCCAAGTATAATTGATGGTATATTTAATTGAATTAATATAAAAAAAGCTGATAATAATTGTATACCTGTCCATATTAATCCTTGTCTAATTGTTATTTCACCACTAGCTATTGGTCTTGTTTTTGTTCTTTCAACACGTCGATCATATTCTCTATCCCAAAGATCATTTATTGTACAACCAGCACCACGCATTAAAATTGTTCCAATACCAAATAAACTCATTAATATAAAATTATCTAATGTTGTACCAGCAAATGCAATACTCCATGCACCTGGTAAAAATAATAACCATGAACCAATTGGTTTATCAATACGACTTAAACGAATATATGGTTGTATTGATTTAGGAATAATATCAAAAAGATTTTTCCGACTACGAAATGATGATAGATTATTTTTTTGTTGATATTGTAGATAAATTGATGTTGTTGTTATACGAATAATTGATGTACGAAAAATAAATGGACATGTTTGACGTAATAATAGAATCATTAAAATAATCTAGAATAATATTTATTTAAAAAAAAAACAAAAAAAAACAAATGAAACATTAGCTAGATTTTTGAAAGAACAAAAAAAACGAACATATATTCTATCTCGTATATAAAAAACAAAATATAATAAATTATGATGAATAATACTCTTTCCATATACGTTCAAAGATTGGTTTACAATAAACTCTTGAACGTAATTTCGTACAAAGTAAAAATGCACCGGCCATTTTTCTATGTAAAGAATATGAATCTTCTGGTGGTGGTGTTAAACGATGTTTAACCATAACTGGTATTAATTGATGTATACTTTTTGTTATATTTTGTGCACCAAAATCAAATGCATCATCTGTACGAAAACCTTCACCCAATATTAAAACAGCATTAACATGTGCATTAATCATTTCAATTGTTTCATAACCAGTTATAAATCCACATTTAATTGATAATTCTTTAATACGTTCAGGATCATTATCAGCTGAAGCACGAAGTATTTTTATATAATCATCAATAAATATTGGACTAAAAGAACGTGATGAACCAAAATCTATAAGACCAATTGTTTTATTTAATGGATTATATAAAAAATTAGACCAATTTGGATCTGTTTGCATTGCTTTAAATTTAAATAATTCTAATAAACATATTTCTAATATAGATGTACCAATAAAATCACGTGTTGATTGATCTTCATTAGTTGCTTTATCAAGTGTCATACCATCGAAATATGTTGTAGTTAATACATTTTTTGTTGATAAATTATCTATTATATCTGGTACACGATATGATGGATAATCACGAAACCAATGTTGAAAACGACGACCCCATTCAGCTTCACGAATATAATCAACTTCCCAATTTAATTCACGTTTAGCAACTTTTATAACACTTTCAATATAAAGACCACGAGGTATTATATTCCAAAAATTGAGTAATGTAACTAAATTATTAATATCACTTTCAATTGATTTACCTACGCCGGGATATTGAATTTTAACAGCAACACGTTTTTTATTATCTTTTACAATACCATAATGTACTTGACCAATACTAAAAGATAGGAAATTAAAATTTATTGTTTGTTTATAATAAAAAAAAAGTAAATTTAACCTAGCAGCAGCAAATGGTCGATCATGAAATTCTTCAAATTTATCACGCCAATTAATACCAAATTCATTCATCATTACTTCATTCATTTGCCATTCAGGCATAAAATCTGCTTGTTGACGAACACGTTCAAAGATTTGTTGAACATCATCTTGAATAAGAAAATTATCTACAACAAAAAAATAAATATTTAGAAGAAAAAAAAGATGAATAAAAAAAAATTCATTTTTACCTTGTATACTTATCATTTGACCTAATTTAAGTGCAGCACCACGTACTTTACATAATGTATTAACAATACGTTCAGCATTAGCTTTAGATAAATATGGAGAAAGAGAAGTTGTGGAAGAAGATGATTGTTCAAGTCCAACTGTACGTCGAACTATTGAACCTAAAGCACCAACACCTAGGCCAGCAGCAAGAGAACCAAAACTTGCTAAACGACTAATTCTTGTTGTAGGTACAGATCGTGCTTTAGCATCCATATTTGTTGGTGGTGCTGGTAAAGTCAAATTTTGATGATCCTCTAATGTTAGCGGTGTTGTCGATTCATCTATTGTGGAGGAAGTAGTGAAGGTTGGTTCAACTTTTAATGAATCAATTTTAGTAGTCGGTGTAAAGAAATTAACTGACTTTCCAATCGGATGATAATCTATTGTTTTTTCAGATATTAATGGTTTAGATTTTTGTTCAATAGACAATGGTTCTACTGCAATAGTAGAATCTATTTTAGGATGAGTTGGTATTGGGATTTGATCTTTAGATAGACTAGGTTTTGTTGTTGTTGCTGTTGTTCTCATTGCTGATGTATCTATTGCAGGAGGATGAGTCGGAATGACAACTTTATCTTGAATTAAAGTAGTAGTTGTTGTTGTTGCAGATACATCCTTTTCAGGATAAGTAGGGATTGGAATTTTATCTCTAGCTAAAGTAGTTGTAGATGTTATTCTATTTTCGACTGGTTGAATTACAGATGTTATTGACGATGGTGAAGATCGAATAGCATTTGTCATAGCAATGCCAGTTTGACGAATAAGAACACTAGATTTCCATGTTGTTGTAGATATAATATTTGAAATATTAATTCGACTAAGTTGATCGAAACTATTTGATAGGAGTTCAGTTAAAGGTTCAATTATATAAGATGAACGTCGACGAGGATCACCTGATCTAGTCGCTTCATTAACGATTTGTTGACTTAATCGAGTCAATCCACGTAAAAAACGACCAGCATCTGACAAACGATTGGACATCTAAAACGAAAAAAAAACGTAGACTTTATTGTTAACAATAATAATAATAATAATAATAAATAAGGAAAAAAAAAGAATTCTCTCTTTTTTTTTTTTGTTATATGTTATCCTAAATTTCAATTTCATCTCCATTTATATAATCATGCATAGCATATGCCCATGTCCATTGACGTGCTTTTTGTTCATATTGTTCACGATCATTTGTATATAAATCAGCTGCTTGACGATTCATACATATATGTGAATATGGATCACTTAATAATGATTGTACTGATATAAGTACTTTTGATATTGTTAATGCTAAACTCCAATTTGAACCAAATGAGTCAAGACCAATATCACCATGAATATTTATATTTGGATGAAAAATTTTCGTTATAAAACGTACAACTGGAGGAATCATTGGATAACTAAATAAACAAAAAAAAATATATATGTATATATTTTAAATATATTTTGCAATTTATATAAACATACGATTGAGGAATATGCAAATAGAGATAAAAAATACCACCTGAAAAATAAAATAAAATTTGTCACAAAAAGAAAAACAATTTAATGAATATAGACCTTCATAAGGTGATGAACTAGGACCCCAAATAGAAGCATGCCAATGACAACAAGATGAATCTAATGGTTCAGCACGTATTCCATCAGGTGGATCATCCTACAATTAAAGCAGAAAAATAAAAAATAATACAATAGTGGACAAAATTCTCTGTCCTAGAGGTTCTCTCGGCTACTATAATTAAGTACAAAGAGAATTCTGATGGATGACATCTATATCGTCTCTGAATTTAATAACTCCGGAAAAGATAAGCGTTCTAGATCCACTAACGACTCGTTATGTAACGTTGTATTCCAGTCATCCACGCAACTAATGTCATTAAAGTTCATCAATCCTTTATAGCACTGTGACTATTGATGAGAAGAAAAAATTATCTGGTATCTTTTTTTTGAGATAAGAGCACGATAGTAATTCAGTGAATGAAGCTGAAACTCTTAGAAAAACTATCTCTATAGTTGGACATTAGTGCTTACAAGCTTCATAAACAAATAATGTACTGATGGAAAATGACATAGCTATGAAGGTGTGGATGTCTCGGATCTACACTCTTGACGATGTATATGTACAAAAATTTTTAGTCCTTCAGTATCTATAATGACTGATATCCACTCGAGCGGAAACTTTTATCTGCTACTGTAATTAGATTTTGATTGGCAACACAATTGAATAAGATTTTAAATTCTCACAAGTACAATCAATATTCTTTAAAATTTATTAATTCAATAAAATAAAAATACATACGCGTAACGCACGAATTTCACTTTGTAATCGTCTATGACGCCATAATGTTGGTTGCATTTGTCCATTATTTTCAAACTGGAAACGAGAAAGAAAAATTTTTTAAGAGGAAAAAAAACCTATTCTCAAAGTTTATTTTATATTTACTCGAATTCCCGTATCATTTAAACATATAAAACAACTGGAACTTCGAATTCTGAAAAAAAAAAATATTTATTTATTTAAATCGAAATAATTTTACAGTTTATCAACATTCAGAATTTCAATAAAATATGAAACTAATACTCGAATTTCTTAAGGATCTTTTTTCTTAATCATATTTTGACTAACGAAAGAAGTCTGTCGTCAAGTGATGATTTGCTTTTTTCCTCGAAATATACATAACTATATGCAGTTCACTGCATTAATTCTGAATATCATAGTCTTAACGATCCATATATCTTTCCAGATTCTATATCATATGCAATATCTAATCCATCTATTATGTGCTACCGGATGAAATATCAACAAAAATACCTTTTTTTTTAATAGATATTTTAACCGCTAATGTCAAATACTAAGACGCACTGTAAAACAGAGAAAAACTAAATATACAAAAATTATTTGTTTTGAAAGTCTATACAAAATAAATCAATATTTGATATCTTAGGAAATTAATATAAATATGCCCATATAGAGCTTTATTCAAGCTGATATTGATTGTACCTTCATTAACCTAATCGTACATATCAACTTTTTATTTATCCCAAAACATATGATGTAGTTTGCTCACTAGTTATTTATCGACCAATTATCTCTGCTTATTCATTAAATTAATAATATAGAAATTTTTATCACATCTAGGGTTTAGATGTAGAGTGCACACACCGTGTTCTCGTTTACCCTGTAATGCATAAATGATCTTTTGACCTCTATCTCCTATAATATCTTTTTCTACTTCCATAATTAACACCACATGAGAAAAAAGAACAACTTTCCTTCTATTGCAGATTGTGTACGAACTTTAGACTGACTTGAGAATAAGTAGTCTTTTGTTAACATAAGTTTAAAGTGAATAAAAAGCATCTTTCTAGTCCATACTCAATGGTAATAATTGTTATTAGTTTGAGAATAAATGAAAAAACGAAAATAAATGTGAGATGACTGTTCGTAGTTAGCGTACAAATTATTTCATTGCTTTATGGATTAGTATCTGGTGTAAAAGATAAAAAAGTATTTTTGGTGATATTTCATATAGTGACATATAGTATAACAATTCGATATCGGATTTGATAAGAAAAAATCTATATTAGAAGAGAATTGATAGTTATGATATAGAATCTAGAAAGGCATAAGGGCTACTAAGAATATAATATTTAGAATCAGCACAGTAAAATACTTACAGTCATGTATTTTATTAAATTATTTCATCGAATTTTTAAAAATTTTATTTTTTATCTTACTACTCCTTAACAGGAAACTCTTCATAATGCTTTTTGATATAGCTAATTGATCCGATCATTTCTTCTTTTTTTTCCATCACAGATGAATACACTCTACTCGATCGCTTATATCTCTACTATAGACGTTTCGAGGGAGTTCGTATGACATGTTCATATACATTGGGTTTAGTTCATCACTGGGCTTTTTATTGGTCTCTTAGAAGCGATATGCATGTGGCTATTCTTAATGCAATGGGTATGCATTTGAATTTATGTTAGATGAGAAAGTTAATTTTTTTGAGTTTTGATTTCATTTTCGATTATTTTGATCGTTCTTTATTTGCTTTCGATGTTTACGATTGGAACTCTCTTATGTTAACTCTATATGATGTACTTTTTAATCTGAGCATCCATAAGACCATATATCATAAAGTATATAACAGAAATAATCTTATCACTTACAATTGATCATATATTCGACTAAGATTTGCACTATTATCATCATTCGATAATGGAAAAAGTGGCCAACGTGTACGAATAAATTGTTTCCAATCAACTGTTGAATTAATCAATTGATTCCAACGATTTGATGCTTTAGCTAATGCATATATACTTAAATCATCCATACATTTCATTATAGTTAACATAACTTCAGGTGGTAATTGACTTAAATAAGATGTATGATCATTCCAAATAACATTTGGTACTGTTAATTCAAGTAAAAGTTCATTCAATAAATCATTTCGTCTATTATTTGATGTTAAAGAAATAACAGAATTATTTGCTGTTTGTATTGATGAATCCATACTTGTTGTTAATAATTTTTTTGTTTGTTTATTTGTTCCCGAAGTACAAGCATATCCATCATCAGTATCTTCATTTCCTGAATCATCAGCTTCACCTTTCTATTAAAAAATAACAAAAAAAACAAAGCAAATTTCGTTTCATAAAAATTCATTTTTTAATATACATCTTCGCAACCATTAGGTTCTTGTTGTTGATCAATTCCATGTGGATATATAAATGCATGACATATTCGACATATTGGATCACCAAAACATCGAGTATAATATCCTTCACAATAAAAACATTGAGAAAACTAGAAAAAAAATAAATTTCTATTAATAAAAATTATTATGTTATTTTCCTTTGTTTACAAACCGTATCTACATTATTCATTATTGTTTATAGAATAAAAAATATCATCTATAAAAATAAACGGAATATCAGCATAATGGTTTTAAAAGAAGAGAAATAAATCAAATATTCGAAATTAAGATTCATCAATAGTTTTAGTATTTGAGAAAGAAAAAAACCAAAATTCAAAAACATCATTAATATATATAAATCTATGAAAATTTTTATCAATTCATTATACTATTAACGATACAATGATCTGTTTTAAAATCATCATTTAATATATAAAATAAAACATATTATAAAAGCTTTTTATATTGATTCGATGAAATCTTCTGTCATTATCTCTTATTGCCGAGAATCTTTAAAAATAATATTTTTAGCTATATAAGATAATATTTGTTGTTCAAGCAGAGCACTAGGTACACATTTGTATATATAATGATTGTACAGTTGTACTCAATGCTCTTTCGAATTGATTGATAAACTTCGATTGAACGACTGAATTTTTCGAACGAAATAATAATAAATCTCACATAATTTAATTTGAGAAACAAACGATAAATTGAAAATAACGAGCAAATAGTAAAGTTCCATAATACGTATATTTTATTTTTATTTATATTGGCCATTTTATTGATCAATTGAAGACGGAGATGCATATTGGATTTATCTTGTATGTTGATGACATCTATCGAATGATACAAAATAGCGAAAAAAAGATAACTTATCAATTGTTTTTTCTTTTTGAGATAGAATATTCTGACAATATGATATTTAATTGCAGATGATCGAAATTACTTTGATTGTTTATTATATAAACTTAATGTTCTAGATTTCATACCAAAAAAAATAACAAAAATACTGCAAAAATTATTTTTAAATTAACTAATTTCTGTTGCCAACAACTAATTAAGTTTGTTATCTTGGTAGTAGATTCTATTTGAAATATTAAATAATTATATTTGCAAAAAAAAACCATTACCATTGACATTAGTTGTAGCCTTGATTCACGACACATCCATTAATTAGATAAGGAAGTAAAGGAATTTTTGTTTTTAATAAACGACAAAATGTTTTATTTCTAATAGTATACAAGAAAATTTGTTGAATTCACTTGTAAAGAATAAAAACTTCCTATGATTAGAATATAACATCTCTTCAATTCCTATTGAATTGATACATTTATATTGTGTTCATTTTTGTTAAGAAAAGTTTCAATTAAATTCAACATTTATTATTTTATTGTTTCATAAGACATAGAAATTTTGTCAGTCTATTATTTTCAGATCATATATTTCAATTATATTCATTATTTAATCAATAATTAAGTAAATTAGTTGTACATATTTCTATATAAGACTTAAATCTACATTTTTTTCGTTTTTAATTGCAAATCTTTGTTTTTTTTTCTACCTATATATATATAAATGTATATACAATATAATTCTCGCAATTAGTCGTCTTATTATTCAACTATATTAGTGAGAAAAGCTTTTTCTATCCATTTCTAATGGAATGCATATAAATAAGGTTAGGCTTTCTTTTTTTTTTTCACAGTTCATGCATCCTTTCATTGACATTTATGAAAGAAAGGCTTCCACTTACTTGATTCTACTCATTTTCGTAGAACGCTCAAATAATTTACTATTACGATTAAATTCTTAGATAGTTTTCTCGTAACACGACACATTTTTGAGCACAAAAACGTAATAAATCTGACAAATAAAGATGCGCATATTTTATGTCATTGAAAAAGAAAAAGAAAAGATATAATTATAATGTATAAAATTGAGTTGATTATATAATTTCTTTTCAGAATAATTATTATGCATCATCACAAATCAACTAGTCATGCATATAACCACATATTTAATATTCTAGGCACGTGCCGCTCTCTTTTTTTTTTCTGTCCTACAATCTTTATTTGAAATCTCAATTGCACTTAATACCCTTTGCATATCTCAAATAGTTATTGAAATCTTTTTTCTATGTTTTTGCTTATTGTATAATTATCTTCATTATTTATAAATACTGTATTTTCATCCATACACACTCATCGTCGTCATTATTATTAATAGAAAATCTGTTATAAAAGTTTACAATCTCTTATTGTATATAGATACAAAGTTTATGATCCACATAGAATATTTGTCTGTCTAGGCACAGATATGTTGTTGATAAGTTTATTTTTTCTCTTCCACATTTGGTATCTACGTCACGTTCTTTTTTTGTCTTTTTTTTTTCTATACTTGTCTAATTAATTCATATTAATTGATGGATGAATCGGTTGAACTAATATGTTTTCTCAAGGACAATACGAAGGTTTTCATCATAATTATTATCGTATCAAATAATTTCTTTGTAAATTAATGAACAACTCGATACATATTTTTTCTTTTTTTGTCATAAGATAGTTTTTAGCTTTTTGACGATATTTGTAAAACGTCAATAACATATACATTATGAATGTTTACATTATACGACGCCCATTTATAAGATAAACATCAATGGAAGAATACGATGCCATCTTGAAATCTTCTATTGCTAGTTCTGAACACATCTAATAAAGTTTTGAAGAAAAGAAAGAAAGAAAAAGGAAAAGAAAAAGAGAAAAAAAAGAAGAAACCCTTGAAATATGAAGTGTGATGGAATAAAAATGCACTATATATATGTGCGTGCATATGGCTTGCTTGCATGATGTTGTTTGCCTTTCATCACCTTTTCGCTATATAGATCTCAATACTGAGGACACGTTTCAATCGAATATATGCATGTACACCTCAAGCAAAAACATTACTCTATCAATCATCAATTCTTCTTATGAATAAGTACACCATCCACAGAGAAGAAGAGGGCTGATGAGATGAGAAAAAAAAATGAAAAAGAAAAGAATAGGATATGTATCTATGCATGTGTGTGTGTGTGTATTCATTCACGATAGTGTTAAGAAAAAAAAAGTGTCAATAAAAACTTGCTATAGGCTAAAAAACATATGAAACAATAAAAACGAACAGTTTTCTTTCAACAATTTTCAAGTATTTTTTTTCATTTATAAATACAGATTGCCAATGGGTTAAATTATTATCATAAAATATATCTATTTAATTGAATACATAGTTATATCCCTTTATTGACTTCCAAACAAATATTTGCTAGAAAATTTTATTATTATGATTATTATTATTCATTGTATATTAGTCATTTTTTTTCCAATAAAAATGACTATTATTCTCATTTTAGACATACAAGCACGTCTGATGTTTGGTATTTTTTGACATAAATAAAAACTTGAAAATGCTGTGCAAAGTATCATATGTCTGATAAGATACACATTTTGCCAGACAATGTTTGTAACAAGCACCGTATGTAATATTGTATGAATGAAATAGTAAAAAAAAGAAAAAACGTGAGAAAATGTTAGAAACAAAGAGCAATATATATCTGTATGTATATAATTTATGTATAATAGAGCACGAGAGCAAACGAACGGACGGTGAATGAAAACAAAAAAAACCTGTTGAAGACGAGCTTAAACATACTGTGGAGCTACACTGCTATTCGATGATGATGATGATGAAAATGTACGATGTGTTAATGAATTTGTCATTGTTGATAATATAGATGAATAAAATTCATGTTTTTGTTGATGTTGTTGTTGATATTGCTGTTGAATTAAATCACTATTATCATTATAAGAAAGTAAAGCTCGATTAAGTTCTTGAAATGAAAAAGGAGTTTTTGATGAATTTAAATTAGTTATTATATGAGAAGGAGATAATGTTGTATAATCACTGGTAATACGATTTCTATAGAAAGCAAAAACAACAGAAAAAAAAAAAGTCAGTTTTCTTTTTTTTTCTGTCAATTAAAAAAGAAAATTTATATACCTAGTCGTTGATTTTTGTATTAATTGATTAGTTCGTATTTCGGAATGTCGTCGCATTGTTGTATCATTTGTATTTGTCATTGTTCGTGCTTCATGAATATCATGAATAAAATGACATCGAGGACCATACGGACAATAACCAGCTAAATAATAAAATGATATTTTAAATAAAACAAGCAAATCAATCGAAGTTTTATTTTTTTTTTTTACTTGTATGAAATGTTCGACAATATTCAGTTTTATATTTTGGATGACGCATTAATATTCTTAATTCTTTAATTCCATGTGAAAATTGACATTTATCACCATATTTACATTTTCCAGTTTCTGTAAATGGTCGACATAATTCTGTTTTATAACGTGTTACACACATATGAGATGGGGTTATTTGTGATGTACTACTATTTGTAGTTCTCATTTGATGTTGATCGTATTGTATTGCTTGTTGTTGTTGTTGTTGTTTTTGTCCTATGTCAGTTAGAAGTATGCGTGGAGATGATAGAGATGATGTTGATGAATCGGATGATGAATAAGATGAATTTGAATCAACACTTGGCATTACTATAGTTATCTGAAAAAATTAAGATTAATATATATATTCTTTCTTTCTTTCTTGTTTTTTTTTTTTGTTCTTTTTTCGTTAAAAAGAAAAAACCAACAACAACAACAACAACAAAAACGAATGCACAGCCAAGCGTGTTGTAGGATGAGAAGATGAAAAACGTGTGTGTATGTGTATAGAATGTAGATATTATTATGCGTGCGTAGCGTATAGTAGTAGTAGTTAAGAATCGAGAATACCAGAGAGAAGAAAGAACAGAACAGACAGAGTAAACGTCACAATGAATACAATATTAGAGAAATGGAATGAAACGAGCATGTAACGACTTATAGTTGTAGTAATAGTAGTCGTAGTATGTACTAGTAAAATTCTCCGATGAATGAATATAAAGGGCGCTTTCTCTTTCTTTCACTCGATTTTTTATAGAATAAAAAAAAAAAAAACAGGAGAATCGAGGGTAAGCGAAGATGAGATGCAAACTTGTAGTATCCATTTGTAATGCATGGGTATATGTAAAACTCATTCTTTCTTTCCTTCCTGTCATTCATTCTCTTCTTGGCATTTTTCCTTACAGGTACCGGTCAATAACCTTCTTTTTTTTCTGTTCTCTTTTTTTTTTCTACATTCGACGTTACTTATGACCGGAAGAGAAATGCGCTATGCCATGATGCTGAATGTATATATGTATATATATATATATATATGTGGTCTAGTACCTTTTCTTGTGTCTATCTTCTTTCTTTGTTTCATTTCTCATTGTACAATTAGTATTGTACGCGTTTGCATGACGGTAGCAGGAGGTCGGCGGTTTTTTCTTCTTCGTTTTTTTTTCTCAGACAAAGTTCACCACTTCTCTACCTTTTTTTTCTTTTAGTCTTTCTCTCTCTCTCTGTCTCTCTCTCTTTCACTCACTTGTCCTTTTACAATGATTGTGTGCGTCAGAAAAAAAAAAACTGAAATTTGAAGTACTCATGGTGTAATTACAATTTTTCAATTTTCTTTTTCAAGCCTGGGACAGATCAACATTTATATATATATATATATATATAAACGTATATGTGTAGATAAGGCTTATACTTAGTTGATAATTGAACTTAATAGATATGTATGATAGAAAATTGAATGTAAAGAAGAAGACCTTGACTTTACGAAGAGAATTAAAAAAGAAAATGAAGAAACGAACGAATGAATAAGAATGATTGTTCGGCACCGACCATGTGTTGTGTGTGACTCGTAAAAGTTAAGATAAAGTATCGTACACAGGCACACTCATGCTCATTCACAGGATCAAGAGAATGAGAATAAGTGCATACACATAAGAAAAAAAAAAAAAAGAGAGAGAGAGAGAGAGAGAGAGGGGCAGAGAAAAATGCAACTACTAACTTGCATGCATATATACATACATATATATAATCCAAGATATTTTCTATATTGATTATTACTATTCATTTATGCAATATACATATTTATTTCTTTGATCTCAGCATGAAAATCGAACTTCAATATTATTTTGACAGCTAGAATACTAGCATTCAGATATATATTCTCGACATTCAATTAGCTCATTGTCGCTGTGCACTTGACGTACTACTCATTAGAATTGCACTCTTGAAGAGACAATATTTCTGTCTTGTATTGTCTTCATCTTATCACTATTGAGCGGCATATTCACACAATTGAAAGTCGATAATTGTACACTCCATGATATTCAAAAAAAAAAAAAAGAAAAAGAGAGAATTTTTTTTTAAACGATCGAAATCTGGTGCATAAAATCAAGGAAAAAAATACAATGATTGTTAGTAATTGTTATATATGGCAACAGACGTATTTGATATTTTCATAGGAATGTGAATAGTTCGATTTTGGATTGATATGCTAGTTTGCGACAACTTGATGGTCGACAAAAAAATTATCAACAGATTTATAAAAAAAGAATATTCTTCTATTATTAGAAAAAAAAAATAATACATAATGTGAAAGATATCAATTGAAAATCTATTGAAAGTAAATACGGATATGTTATCATTATATCTAAAATTGATAATTATTGGTTTTATTTTTTGTTTATTTTTGAAAATTTTTTTTTCTACTTTTAAATCATCATCAAAAAAAGATCTAATTAGTGTTTTTTTTTCTCGAACGATAGTTAAAAGAGTCTTTTCTGATTAATTATAATGACATGCATGACGTTCTCTATCGTATTTTGATGATTGTAACTTATCATTTTAATAGCTCCCGTCATATAAAATATATATTTGTGTAATTTATGATTCTATATTTCAATCAAGTTTTGAGCAATATTTTGCCTTGTTGTATTTTTTTCCAATGAATGAATGAATTACTGACTCATATATAATGTCAAAAAACAAAAAAACAAAGAAAAGAACGCTATTTATAGAAGTATGTATGGAGTACAGAAAAAAAAGGTGAAATTATTTGAGTCAAAGTAAATAATCTAGTTTTTTAGGCCATCCAATATTTTTTTAAGATAAATAATTAATTGAGATTTGTTTCTTTGCCCGTTGTCATATGAGTTGTGCAATGTATATACTTCACTTTGTTTTTTTTCATGACGACATTTGCTCATTGTAATAGAATTGATAAAGAAACAAATTATATGACAGATAGACGATTATTTATTAATAAATTGACAAAAAAAAAAAAATTTTCTTTAATATTTAGTTTATTTTTGGACATGATTTACTGAATTTTTTATTTCTAATTAAATCGATCGGTTTAATTCAAATTTTTAAAATTTTTTATTCCGCATGTATTTGAAATAAATATTGAAGATTGTGATTGTGTAGGATAGTAGAGTAAGCGGTTGTTTACAAGGTTAAAATGTCATTAACATCTGTATGATGTACACCTCTTCCAGAAATAGAATGCCTTCTCGAGGGGAACGATGTGCTGAATGTAATAAAAGATCTTCCATTAGTTAATTAATTTTTCAAAAAAATTGGAATTTTTTATTTGTTTACTTAGTTTTCAGAGTTTTGAGCTGAAAATATTAAAAAATTGAGATCAACATTATTTCTGAACTTTTAAAATCCTAAAATTATTTTTCAAAATCCTCAAAATCGTTTTTAGTTTTCTAAAAACAAATCCTTTTAATTAAAAATTATGGAAATAAATGACACACAATAGAAGATCTAGGATTTTCTATTTTAAGAAGAAGTTTACAAAACAGTATTGATGGTAATTGTACATACAACTCTAATAAACAATTTTGAATTCAATTTTACTTGAATTTCTTCGTAATACTAAACTTTAAATCTTATAAAACTTCTTCAACATCTTATTTAATAGAGAATGATTTGTTCTACAATTTTGGGTTTCGATAAAATGTGAATTCTGCTTTTTTGATTTTTTTATTGATATAAAAAGAAAATCAAGAAATTACTGATACATGATCGTTCTAGTTGATGAATCTATTTGAAACTATAATTTTATTAAATACCATAAAATTCTCTAGTATCTGTAATAAGTACAAATAGATTAACTGTTATTTTGTTTTTCATTGAATAATGTCATTAATTACAAGATAATTGTATTCATTTAAATATGTTAATTTGTTATTTGAAGATTATAAAAAATAATGCTTTCATAATTACTAATTATAGTGCAATATCATTGGGGAGATAAAACAGTATCACTTCCTACTGATTCACAATGATGTCTATTGATTTTGTAGGATTCTAGAAAATGAATGTTAAATTCATATGTTGAGTGCAAAAAGAAGAACTATTTTTCGTGTTAAAATGTAGGTTAAATTATGATTTGTTTTTCTTTCTAAGAATGACAATGTTTAGCGTGTTCAGGAAACAACGCTATAATAAGACTGACATTTTAAAATTAGACTCAATCATCTCTATTCCTTCTCCTCCTTCCAATGTCTATTTGTCAAAAATAAAAATTATTAAATCAAATGATTATTCTTTAGTAATTTTAATTTTTTATTTATTTGAGAATCAACTTCGAACTATTTATTTTTATTTCTTGCCTTTTGATCTTAAAATGTATTTAGTCTTTGAAAGCGTGACTTCATGTTGATAAAAAATATATATAAAAGAAAAACGAATCATTCCATAATGTATTATGCATCAAACATCTGTTTGAATTCCCGTACTTGCTATCCAAGGTGTTTTTTTTTAATATTGACAACAGACTTTCTCAAGTGAGAGACAAAGACACAAAAAAAAACCCGTGTTCGATAGAATCGTGCATTTTTCTGATCAGTTGATATGCAATAATAATGATGATGATTAAAGTTATTTATGTGTTTCTATTTGAAATTTCTTTCATTTTAACAAATCAATTGAATGAGGCAAGCTCTTCTTAATTTTTACATATAAACTTTCTTATTATCGTTTCATATAGGTTTCCAATCAGAATACAATAGTCAACTCTAATAATAGTATTGTTGACTTGAAATTCAAGCAATATCAAAGTCGTACTAGAATACCACAATCTCTTACATTACTAATGAATTTTAAATATGATGGAACGACTTCATTACAAATTATACAAGGTAATGAATATGAAGAAAAAAAACAACATTTAACTTGAAATAATAGTCATCCGATTCTAATATAAATATTTATTATTTTTTCCCTCTTTTTTTCCAATAGGATCAGAGGTTGTTTACTCGGACTATGGACTCTGTAAATATGGACAATTATTTGATCCAGCTACTGGTCGATGTCGTGATATTTACTGTCAAGAAATTAATTATAAATTTAATGGAACCACATGTATACCAGATGAAAATAAAAATACGATAAATATTTATAAACGAATGAGTGATATTGATTTATCTGTAACACTTTTTATTTTACCAACATATCGTAATGAAAATGAAAAAGGAAATTTTTCGAAACGTCTTCATAGTCAAATGAATGAAACATGTACTGATGATTGGGCTAAAATGTTTCATAATACACTTCGTGGTAAGTTTATATTTAGAGAGAATTGAAACATTGACTTTCACTAATAATAAGATTTAAAAAAATATTTTCATTAGGATAGTAATTTAATGTTTGTACGTCTTGTCAAATCATCTTTGACTCTATGAGAAATCATAACTTTCATAAGCGACAAATCTAACATCAAGTAGTATTAAGAGATTAGACAAGACGTTTTCAAATCTTTTTGATTAAAATAGATTAACATAGTTTTATACAAAATTACGGTTGTATATTATGATATATAAAGCTGAAGAATGAAACTTATAGAAAATCTGAATAATCATAACAAATAATTTTTATTTATTTTCTTAAAAATGATCAATTTACATTTAAATTCAATTTGTGATAACAGAAGATTCAATAGAATTTATATAAGGCTTTGAAAAAATCATTCATATGAATATCATCAAAAGTTCTATATGATCTTTATTTATTTAGGTTATCTTGATATCGATTATAAACGTATTACTAATATTAAATACAATCTCAAACAAAATCATGATAAAGTTTTACAAAATTCATCAAATATTAATCTAAAAGCAACGAGTAATATTTCTGAAAAACATAATAACACAAATATCATTGATTCAAATTCATTATTATCTGATCGTATTAATGAACAACTTTTTAATAATCAATCAATATTTGTAAATTTGAATTTTTCTATTATTGATCGAAATGAAACATCAAATGATACACTAACAGGTTTACATGTTGTAACACTTGTTTTACTTGCATCAGAATTTCATTATATAATGGATTTATGTGAAAAATATTCAATTAAAATTGAAAAAATATCGATTATATCAGATAAAAATAAAACTCGAGAAGAATTTTGTAGTGAACCTGATAAAATGTATCCAACAAATACTGGTATTATACGTAGACGTATAAGATCTGATGGTGAAATTGATTATGTTGTTGATGTACCTGAACTTGAAACAACATATGAAAGTGGAGATTATACTTATTCATTTATGGTTTCAACATTAACACATCAACAACGACAGAAAATGGTAATTTTTCGTTTGTTTGTTTGTTTGTTTTTTGAATTATCTCTTCTAAATATTTAGTCACAAGAAGTTTCAAAATCAAATTCAACTTCAACAGTAAAAATGATATTAGTTTGTAATCGTCGACCTCGAATAGTTGATCGTTGTCCAGATAGTCTTGTTATGCGTATAGCACTTTGTGAAGTAATTCAATATACAAATTTTTCAATAAGAATTAAACGTACTGGTCGTTTATACACAAATCGTGAATATCGTTATGATGAATTTCGTTCAGATTTATATATTGTTGTATGTAAACATGATATACATAATAGTACAACAAATAGAAAAAAATTCGATTTTTTTGATAAAGCACCTGGATTTTTATCAACAATAGCAATATTTCTTTCAATATGTGCATTATTAATAACATTAATTACATTTATATTATTTTCTTCATTACGTAATTTACCTGGATGTAATATAATGAATTTAATAATAGCATTAATATTAGCTGAAATTTTATTTTTATTACAAAGTTTATTTATAATGACAAGACCAAGTATTTGTTTATTATTTGCATTAGGTATACATTTTTTCTTTTTGGCAAGTTTTTTTTTGGATGAATATTATGGCATTTGATCTATGGAAAACATTTCATAATGGTTATTCAATTTATATTTATGAAATTCGTGAACGTTTACCATATTATGCTTTATATGCATGGGGTATGCCAGTTATTATTGTTTTAATTGGAATTTTATTAGATATAAAAAATACACGATTAAAACCATGTTATGGAAGATTTTTTCGTGGATGTTATGATGTTTGTTTTCATACAAAACATGATGCACCTTTACAAGGTAAACTATTATTAACTAATTTGAAGAAGATAAAAATTGAATGAAAGTATTTTTGATCACTAAACATTTTTTCAGCTACATTATTATTTCTCAATAAAGTGTAGGTATTGTTCAAGATTGATGAAAACTTTCCTTTTACATTGTCTTATTCCAAATTGTCAATTAGTTAAGAATATTGTTGACTCGGATAAGAATCAAAATATAATTTACAAAGCAAATAATATATACCGGACGAGGCAAAATTATTGCAAAATCGGTATTTTTCAATATCTCAGCAAAGTCAAATCATAAAAATTTGAATTTTTTTTAAACAATGCGTCGTGAAATTCTCTACAATAGTTAAAGTAAAAGATTCTCTCGATCCGTAATAGTTGACTTAGAGAGAGAGAGAGAGCTAAAATACAAAATGCATCAGATGCTCTAGTTTTTTACTCTAACAATGATGTAGACGTTCCAAAAAATATAAGTTTACGAACTAAATCAAGGCCATTGTACGAAAACTCAATTACTTTAATTATCGTAATACGAACAATGTGATCCTCTTGACATTTGCAAATCGCTAGAAAGAATTGAAATTATGCCAAAAATAGACGTAAGGTATACTTGTCTTTGTTTATACAATAAAATCTATTCATTGTTTTTGTGTTATCAGAAAACTTTAATTGAATAAATATCACATTGGCACATAAGTTCTGAGCGTTTGAATCAGTAGAATTATATCGCCAATATAAACCTGCATTTTAAGGCAAGTAATTATATATTCTGACAGAGCTCGGAATTCTCTATTACCCTGTATATTTAAGTGTTGACTTGCATTTATTTACTGAAAAAATATTTTGAAAACAGTGAAGACACCCTCATTCGTATTGACAATGTTCGAAATATTTTTCAGCAAATAAGTTCAAGTCAGACCTGAATATACAGAGCGATAGAGCATTTCAAGAGCTCTCACTATGTATAATTACTTTTCTAAAAAGCCAGAATAGAGTAACAAGTAGAATTCACGAAGATTAGTAGTCCATCTTTGATATTTCTGTATGTTGAGTGAATTTCATTTTGTGATTGAAGAAAAGTTCTTCTAACAATTAATATAACAAATTAAATGTATTCTGTAATATGTTTAGGTTGTTGGATTGAATCAGCATTGATGCGTTTTTTATTATTCGGTGTTCCTATAGCAATTATTCTCGTTATTAATTTTATATTTTATGCATTAACTATACGAAATATTCGTCGAACTTTAAAATCCAGTAAAACAAAAATTTTAATCTTAACTTTTTCGTTTTATCTTAAATAAGGTTTTTTTCTTTTGTTTTTTCAAGTTCGTGTACAAGTCGCACGTAAATTTCAACAAAAAAAACAAATTATACCTGGTGAACATGATGTAAAAATTTATATGCGTATGGCTGTTTTAACTGGTTTTGGTTGGACAATTGGTTTTATTTTATTTGCTTTACCTGATAATCAACAAGGTTTTCAATATTATCTTGTTATTATATTTAAATATTTATTTATACTTCTTAATGCAACACCCGGTTTATTTATATTTGTTGTTTATGTATGTAATCGTCGTGTATTTTTATTATATCAAAGTTTATTGATAAAATTATTTCAATTAATTCAATTAAAATATCAAATATGTAAAGAATATCTTTTAAATCAAAGTCAAATTTTCTTTAATAAAATAAAATATCGATTAATTAAATCAAAAACTATTTTTTATAAACATAAACAACAAAAATTATCGATAAAAATATAATAAATTAGAAATTTCTTCTAAATTAATATGAAAACAATCGAAATTAGAATTATATAGTCAATCATTATTCGGAAAAAAAACAGACAATTATTTAAAATTATTTATTATATATTTTGTAATTTCAATGTAATATATTTGTATTTTATTGTATTGTTTTTTTTTTGTACAGAAAAAACAGATTAAATATATAATTTTAATAAAATTTTTTCTTCTAGATATTTATGTACAAAAAATAAGAAAAATCGGAAAAAAACCACAAAAGAAAATGTTCAGTATTTTTTTATTAGCTTTTTTTGTATTTCATGATGTTGCTTGAATTTTATTTGGTTGATGAAGAACACTTATTGCCGAATGAATAAAATATGTAACTATTGAAATTTGTTGTTGAATGTTTGTTATATTATGATCTTCAATAGCATCAGTTATACTTGGAAAACCACGAGCATTATATCGATTTGTTCGACTCGGTGCATATATTGTATGTCTACATATTAAATATTATTCATCGAAGTTTTTATATATTTTATTTGATGACTTACTTAAGATCAGCTTGTTCAATACTACTACCTAATGGATTTTGAAATGCTCGTTCGAGTTGCATCAATTGATCATTGACTATTCGGAGTTGTATTGGACTATAATATGTATTCATATATAGATTAACTATTTTCGATGTTTTTGTATTAACTGATTTCGTAAGAGAATATGTCTCAATCTGTTCTTCGGTGATATGTATGGAAAAAAAATTCAACGCCGTTAATTTTTGTAAAATTTGAACCAGAGAGAGAGAGAGATAAAACTGATTTTTTTCTCGTACTGTTAATATGAATTTGTCTTTCAATAATTCCTTCAAACTATAAGTGAAAAAAGAACTCTTAGTGTTCATGACAACAAGAAATGAAATGCTGTTTGTAATTTCAGAACTAAAAGAAGGATGTTGATGTAAAATGAAATATTTGTATTATTGTAACATAGTACAACTATAAAATATCTTCTTTCATGACAAACCCGAAAGATATCTTGTCATTTGTCTCTTTGACAATCTAAGCAACTCCATCGTTTTACATATTTTAATCTCATAGAGATTATTCTGATCATTTCTTTTGTGTGTGTGTGTATGATATTCTTGTTTAATATAATACAAATATGTGTCATAGATATAGTCGATATGAAAAAGTAGACACTTCTTAGAAGATTATCACAGATAAAAATCCTACTTTGATTTATCAAGTGTTGTTTGAATTCGTTGATTGAATTGATCAGCAACAATTTTAAATTGATCAATTGCATTTTGTAATGATGCTAATATTTATCAAATTTTTACAAATATAACAAAAAATTTTGTATAAACTTACTAAAATTGATTGATTTGGGTGCAATAGATTTTGTTAAATTCAATAAACTGACAAGTGCTTGATGATATCTTGCAGGATTATATGGAAGTAAGTCAATATCAGTCAAAGTTAATGCTGATAAACCAATTACTCGAGCAATTGCTTGATGAGCCTATAAAAACAAAAAATCTCTCTCTTATATTCATCTTCAAGAATAACGATATTAGAAAGAATAAAGTCTTTATTACAAAGCTGTCTAAAAATATTCGATTCAAAATACTTACCGAACAAAACTTCATGCAAAGTGAGTGATGAGAACTGTATTTGATCGGTTTATCTTGTACTCGACTTTTGAAATTTTTAAGCATGCTATATGTGAGCTTCATAGTGGTATCAAAATATTCACGTTACAAAATCACAAGTTCCATAGGAAACAATTTTATTAAAAACTCGATTTTTAATTCTACAACCCCCGCCGAAAGTTTTTCCTTCTGTTTTATATAATATGCTTTTGCGAAGGGCTCACTAAACTTTGATCGTTGGAAAAAGTCTTATTTTTCAAAATCATGTATTAGCTGTGAATACTTTTCACCAGCACAAGAGCATTAGAAAAATAGGGAAAAAGATGAAAAATAAGACCAACTTTCTTAGTAGATAGAAGTTTTCTTCTAAAATCCAGAAGCATGCAGAGAACTTTTCCAATCAAGCATGTTCTTAAATTTTTTAGCTTTCGATAAGTATTTTGAACCGAATATTTTTACACAACTTTGTAGTAGATACTTTGCTTTTTCTAACAAGAAAACTGTCAAATCTCTACGACGAGATATTGTCATGCTATACTGAAAACAAGAGTAATGCAAAACTTTTGCATCATCTGTTATTTAAAAGAAAATATCGTTAAAACTGGCAATAAAATTTTAAAAAAATATATTAAATATTAATTTACTTGAAATTCAGGATCAACAAACTTTTTAACTAATCGAAAAGTTTCATATTGAGTATGATATAATGGATAAGCACCAGCATTTTTGAGATCACTCTAAAGAAAAATCTTCATTTTAGAAAAACGAAAAAGAAGTTTTTCTTTTTCTACAAACAAACTTTATTTAAATAAGTCATTGCAATATTTGAACTTCCAACAATTTGATTAAAACCAGCAAAATCTGAAATAGCACTAAGTCCCATTGTGCTAAATAAATGATAAACTCTTATAATATCTAATCTTATTAAAATTAACTTACAAAAATTTTTCACCAACATTATGATTCCCATTATTAATACGTATCCATTGTTCATAAATTGTTTCATTAACATATGGTGCTTTTACCTTAGATTAAAAACAAAAAACTTGTTCTGTTTTTCGAATAAATATCATACATACTTGTTTAGATATTTTAATAGCAAAATCATAAAGTAATGGAGACATTTCCATTATCATTAATTCACTACCTGTAGGAAAATATAATAAAAATAAATGAACAATATATATATTTTTTTTACCTGTAACAGCAACATCCATGTTAAGATATGAAACAACACGTGAACCTAATATTTTGGCATATTCCTTTTGTAAGATAATGGATATAAGAATTCAAAGAAAAAAAATATATCTATATTTTCTTTCTTACTTCAACAAATTCCATTGAACCAACAATTCCATATTCCTAAAATGAATAAATATAATGTTTTTTTTTTAAAATTAAATTATTTACTTCAGCAGTCCATGCACAGAACATTAAACTTCGTCTTGGTTTCCAATCTAAATATGAGTAAATAATAAATATATTCGATAATGTTTAATGACTTACTCGATCTTACTAACGTTCTAAATACACGTACTAATTCATGATTAACAGCTATACCAGATCCATCGTCAATAGCTCCAAAATTCCAAGCATCAAAATGAGCTCCAATAAGTACATAACGATCTGATACAAAAAAGAAAAAAGAAAATTCTCAATTAGAACAAAAAAACAACTAAAGATCAAACAAAACCTGGTTCAATATGACCAGTAATTGTTCCAATCACATGATGTATTCGTCGAATTTGTAATGTATTGTATGATGATATTTGTATTGATCTATCATTATAAATTTTTGAAAAAAAATTTTGATTTTAAAGAACAACAATTTATATTTACAAATCATCTAATAATAAACCACCATAGACATAGTTCACTTGATCAAGACCACCAGTCCAATTGGATAGAACTGATATTCCTGTCATTCGACTAAAAGAAGAAAAAGAAAAAATGATTGTCTATAATGATTACTAACGGATGAGTCGAAAATTTCTGAGACACAATCTTTCTTCATTTTTCGACCAATTCAGAGGGTCAGCAGAAATTTTACATTAGAATTTCATGCTATTTCCAAATCTAGGTTTGGAATTTTTGTATGACTCATATTTTAGAAATTATGAATGAATCTATGGATGGCTTCAAAATAAAGTTTGCACTGCTTTCAAAGCACAAAAGAACTGTATAGGATAGAAGTAAAATTTATTTCAACTACATCGAAAGAAAGAGCAAATATTCGTCTACAGAATAATATCCTGATGATTACTTTTTCATAATGCTTCTATTAACAATGAAAATGTTGACAAGAGACACAGTGACATTTTTTTTTTGCGATTTCTTGATTCTTAGATTCACAAAATACACTCGTTCACTTCCAGAGGATTACTTCGAAGAGCACAATCTCGGCTACCATGCTGTGAAAAAAATTCCTAGTAGAATATATGGAATAGAGATTATCATTTGCTGAGAAGAACATCTGTTCTTCAAGTATTGATCCAAAAAATTTTTAAAGCGTGATGCAGTCAAACAGAAGGAAATGAGACCTAAACAAAATGAACATATTTCTACGTCAGATTGCTAAGAGAAAAAATTGCTGAAGAGCATCATGAAAACAATTTCAAACAAGATACGATCACATTCTCTGTCTATGGATCTATTAACACAACTGTTTCCCTTCAAATTTATTCTCAAACATTTCCAAAAAAAAACAACATTTTGTCTCAAAACTTTTGATCTATCTCGTATGTTCTGATATTCGTCAGATACTTTAAATATTATGTATATCAACTTCAGTGTCATTTAGCAATGAACTACATTTAGGTGAGTATTTTTCAATGATATCTTGGAACAATTATGCAATAGTATACTTGCATCATTATGATTTACGCAAGCTGTTCTGACCTATGATTGATATGTTGAAATTCAGTATGTTTGCAAATTCTACATAATTGCATCGAATGAACTTTTCATCCAATCGACTTTCTCTTCATAGTTACAATTTGATAATTGAGAAGAGAACGAATGATTATTTCTGAATTTTATCAATTATAGCAGAAGACATAAAACTTGAAAACAAAAACAAAATGAAAAAGATTTGTTCTACTGTGACAGTTTTTATGATAAGAGAGGTTCTCATATTCAAAGTTTGTGTTCTTTTGCAAAAACAAAGATTATCAATGTAAAAAGAATTTTGCACTTTGAACTTACATTAATATTTCTCTTGCTTCTTTATAACCAATCTGTTGAGCAACAATCTTTGGTAACCATGGATTATTATCTATCGGAACTCTATACATGTAATCTTAAGTAAATAGATAATTAATAAAATATCATATTAGTAGTATTAGATTCAAATAAACACCTTTAGCAGGATAATGTTTTGTTAATGGATCTCCAGATAAAATTAATGCTGAACCACGTTGTTGTCCCATGTCTGGCATATAAATTGAATTTGGATATGTTGAATTAGATCTAGTTGAATTTCGTGCAAAATCAATTGGATCACTATATAGAATGACTCCAATTATACCATATTTTTCAGCATTACCAATCTAATAAAAAAAAAAAGATAAAATATAAAAATTCTCTTATTATTATTATTTTTTTTTTTTGGTATATTTTACTTTATTTCCACGAAAAATTTTTCCAAATCGACATATAATTATACTTCCATTTAAGTCATTTTTATCAATAATAGTTTCTATAAATTGAAAATCGTCTGTAGTACAATAATTTATATAAAATAATTTTCGACTTTGTACAGTTCCATTTGGAGTATAAGCAAGAAATGGTCGTACTATATTATTAAATGGTAATGATTTATCGTCTTCATTAAACATTAGTTCATTTCCATTTGATTGAAATATTGAATTATTATTTTGATCTCGAATTGATATACTATAAAGAAAAAAATTATATTTAATTTATAATTAGTAAGTTTCATAAAATTAATATAAAAATATACTTACATATTTGGTTGAATAGGATTTGGATATGAAAGTAAGACATCATATGGATGTATAGTAACATCTAATCCATATTCACGCCATTTTGTAGCGATTGATTCAGCTTCATTACGATCATCATCTGTTCCAGCCAAATGAGTATGTCGAGTAAAATTACTATATTCAATTAATATTAATTAAGTCTTTCAATAGAAAAAAAAAAAAGAACAAAACTTTTTCTCACTAAAGATTTTTTTCTATTTCTTGTGCATTAACAAGATTAAGAAATTGTTGTTTCAAATTATTCCATATTATTTTTCGTTCTTCTTCAGTTCGTTGATTTACTATTGATAAATTATATGTATCAATAGTATTAGATGATCTTGGAATAGCAAAACGACCGATAAGAAGTCCACCAATAAATAAAACAATTGCTATAGATACAATTGATCCAATATATACTAGTTTATTTGAATTCATCACTTTTTTTTTTTTCGTTTTTACGAAGACAATTTTTTTGATTTGTATATTCATTCATTCTTTATCAAAGAGCAACATATTTTATATATAAACATATATATATTTGACCTTTATGTTTAATAAGTCTGTTACAGAAGATAGATAAATGTTAAAAGAAAAAGAAATTGTAAATTATATAGCTCTTCTCACTAATCATTGTACAATCGAGAAATTGAAAATAGTAAAATAAAAGTCAGAGAATTGATGTTCAAATATTTATTTTTACAAGATTCAATAAAGGTTATTATTATTTTTCAGATATCGTAGCTAGTTCGATTGTAGTTGATTTCAATGAATTACGTTTTTGTCGAAATTTTACAAATAAAATTCCAATATTCTGAATTAAATTTTTACGTAAATGACGACAACTTAAAAAACAAGCATAACCAGTTATTACGTGATTAAACATTTCAAGACCTAAAAAACAAAAATTGAAAATTATAAATCAAATATTTATCGTAATATATATAGATAGGATACCTTGACATGTATGAAATACTACTGACATAATTGTATCATTAAAATATTTTTGATCAACATATAGATTAATAATAACAAGAAATGATCTTGGTAGAATAAATATTGAAAATATTGTTAGAAAGAAAAGAATAAATATTGATTCAGCTAATTTTTTACTTGTTAATGCTGGTAGACGTCTTAATTCATATAGAAGAATTGTGTTAAATATAATTAATGTCATTATTGGTAAGACGTCATCAAGAATAATATAACTAATTAGAGAGTATAAGAAACCATTAAATACATAATTACCATAATAAAAATATGGATTTGGTGTACTAATAATAAGTAAACGAGTTAAACAAATACGTGTCGATATATAACGAGATGGAATTAAATTTGGATGTTGACTTATTAAACAACATAGAAATAAAATAAGAATTAATAATAAAATTTTTCTTTGTCGTGTACGATGAATTCTTTTTGAATTATTTGAATTAATATTATAACGATGTGCAACCCAATATTTAACAGCAATAAATCTTTCAATAGCTAAAAATACTTTTAACCAATTTGTAATAATTTTTGGATAACGATATAATGTTATATAAATTGTTAAAGTTATTAAATTTAATGAAATTATATTAGCTTGAATTAAATAATAAAAAATAGTTGATATAAGACGAATTATATCAAATGTTGAAATAAATAAAAGAATTAAACCATATGAAAAATAATAAAATGATGAACGAAAAATAATTAAAATAAGTGTAAGATTTCCAATGATACCAAATATAATACAAAGTATAGATAATATACGACCAATATGAAATGAAATTAAAACTGCTACTGTTGGATTAATCGAACAATTGAATCGATTGTAATCATTATTTTTAATTGTTTCATTAAAAACAAATAAAATCAATGAAGTTTGTGTACCATTATAAGCCATTATACTAGAATGATGAAAGGTGAAATTTATTTTGTTATTTTATATATAATTATAAACTTTAGGAAAGTAACAACTAAAGACATCTTTATCAAATATCAATTTGGATTCTATTCTCATCATATGATTTTAATGAGAAAAAAACAAAGAGACGTTCATCAGAGACTTGTGAATATTTATGTCGTTCTAAGAAAAATATATGACTTATATTAATAGAAATCTATACTTTCTTGTTATTATATATCAGACAGATAAAAAGTTTCTAGAAGATTTTTTTTTCTTCTTCAGAACATTATTCTATGAATTATGTCAATAATTTATAAGGTCAAAGATTTTATTTAAGAATGACTGCATATCTTTAAAATGCTTTTTAAAAAAAATGGAGCAATTTTATATTCATGAATGAAAGAAGTATTTTCATTTAAAAATAGTATCTCTCAACTAGTAAAGCAATATAAAAACCAGGAGCAAATAGCTAAGTTATTACATGGAAAATAGTATGTTAAAAGATTGACATGCAATAGAGAAGAAAAAAAGAATTTTTACATTTTTGCATGCGATCATGTGCTAATAAGCAACATACTTAGACTATTTTGAATAGCTTATTTCATTCTCATTCTCATCTATCAAAATTAGTATTTGACATTTTTGAGAATTTAATTATAGTCAGGCAACGCCGAAGTTTTATTTCTAGATTGAAATTGAGAATGGAGGAGTATTTTATTGATTTTTCTTTTCATAATGCACGACTGTTCAATTAACGATGATTTAATAATAATCTCTCTAATAAGTTTTAGCAGTTTAATTGATTTAGTAACTTTCATATTAGGATTACTAATATTTCAATTATTTTTTTTCTGTGGAAAAGATCGAAACTATTCTGTATGTAATCCAGTACAGCTTCAAAACGTCTACAAATAGCCATAATACTCTTTCAACTCCAGAAGATTTTTCTCTATTTAACAACATGAATATTGTATACTGATCTTTCCTTAGATTTGAAGGTAATTGAGTTCAGTCGATAATATACTTTTTTTTGTTCGTGTAAAATGCTTTTATCAAATAAATAAAGAAAAAATACATATTTTGAATTCATACCGAATTATTTATTTGATGATGTTTGAGATTTCTTCTTTTGAGTATATATCTCTACCATATATTTTTTTATTCAAATTATCTCTTTATATGTTAATAGTATCTCAATTAAAGACATCAAGATTATCGATTCTGTTTCACTATAAGTTCAAACAACTTTCTTTTATAAAAAGTTATTTTTACAATTAATTGTAGGTTCTTTTTTTTTGTAATAACATACTGACTTTTAACAATTTTGTTGAGATTGTATCTATTCAAAAAATTTCAATTATTCATACAAATTGATGATTATATATTAGTCTTTTCTTGATCATTTTATATTATGAAAACTATTTTTTTATTCAACATAAATAATTTTATGACGAAGCATTTGAGATGTAAAATGTTATAGTTCGATGTAAGAGTAGCATCAACTTATATTAAGCTTTATTGTAAGAAAAAGATAATGGCATGCATAGAAAATAATTGAAATTAACGCATTTTTAGAAGGTAATTTTTCTTTCTGGCTTATTAATTCTACTGTCAGTAGAAGATTGAATTGACTCCACTTGAGTTTATATTATCTTGCAGAATTTGATTATTGAGATAGATATCACTAATAATACGTTGTTACAAAGTTCTATGTTCCTTTAGAATGGATGTCGGTCTTCTTTTCATCCACTTCCACATCCCATCCTACATCCGCCCACAATTTCAATTTAAACGGGTATATTTTTTCTTTGATATCGGGTATCCAACAAATGCGTATACACAAGGCCAACCATAGAATCGAGTTGTCTTACAAGGAAACCTCGTTAGGTGATAAATCGCTTTTCAGATGAGTCTTACCTCATTAGATATGCCCTATTGAGACTAGAAAATATCTAAAAATGATTCGTGTTCATGAATCTTTCTTCTTGAGTTATGGTCATTTTACTGAGTTTTTCAACAAAATGCTGTGGTCCCGTTCAGGTCATCTTTAAAATCGACTTTTGAGCTCCAACTTTGAACAAATAAAGTTTTCAATGGGACTAGTTCATTGTGAATGTTTCAGATTTTCTAGTATTTCCTATCCTGAAATATGGACATAAGAACAAAGTTTGCCTTTTCACATAACAGAATTTTCAATATTCGTATGTCAGGATAGGAAATACCAAAAGAAACTGAAACTTTCACAATGAACTAGTCCCATTGAAAACTTTATTTGTACAAAGTTTTGTTTGCTCAACATTGAGATGTAAGAAGATAATCATCTGAATCGTACCTTAAACTATAGATCTACAATCCGTCTATCTCAAGCACATGTCAAAACCAAAATTTACTTGAAATGAAGCACAGTTTTCATGCATTTTTAAAAATTTTATGTTATCTATTATCACAGAAAAAGACGTCCGGAATTCTTCTCTGTCGATTGTTGAAAAGTGCAAGTCGCTAGTTCTTTCCATTGTCGAGTTATTGAGATAACATTCATTGTTCTTTAATCCCGGCGCAAGCATCAGACACTATCATTAGAAAAAAAAAATATTTCTTTATTTTCTTTAATTAGCATGAATTGACAGACAAGAATAGACTTTTCATTTAAAAACAAAAGATAACAATATAAAAATTATTTAACATCAAAAAATAGTTCAAGATCTACATCTTTTATTACATGATAAGAATTGTCGTAATCAGTTAAAGTATTTATCTTTCAAAATAAATGCTAATTCTACTAATCATTGAATGTATATCACTTTTTTCGAAACATCATTATATCTCTGAAAGATATCAAGAAAAATATTTTAGAATCTTTTCTTAATATAATGCACATTAATATTAAACTTTTCATATTCATTATTCATGTAACTGTTTTTGGGGACAAAATGTTTGTCTAATTTTGATTTTGTAGTAAAAGAAAGAAATTTTTATTTCCTTCAATTATTTATTAATATTTTCAATTTTCGTCTAAATGAAAATATTACAATCAAACAAAGTTCAAAATATTTGAATACTACTTAAATAATTTTTTTTATTTATTTAATTTATTATAATATAATAAATCAAAATTCAATATTTTCATTCTTTTGTTTTTGTTCTTTTATTTTGTTTCTCTTTTTGATTGTTGTTGACTAGCATATAAATAATAAATCCAATAAATTAAATTAAATATAAAAAATGTTAGTGGATAAAGAATTCGTGCAAGAATATCAATTTTACTTACACTATTCATATAAAAAATATTTTTTAAAGCTCGTCCTTGAAATGTTGAATATGCTGGTTTACAATAAAAATTTCGACAACATTTTTTTACACTTTTTTTTTGTGTTATCTTTATCGATGATGATCTTATTATTATTGATGGTCGATAAACTAAATGAATATCACTACTGGTCAATTCATTATCATTTGGATCTGAATCATCATTCTATAAAAATATAAAATAAACATAAACAAATATTTTTAATTATAAAAATTTAAATTCCATACTTGAATAATATAATCTTCTAATTCACGCATATTTTCATTAAGATCACCTGTTCGTGCTTTTGTATAATAATGAACAAATGCAAATTCGAATAATGTTGAAAAAACAAAAATAAAACAAACAGCTAAAAAACAATCAAGTGCTGTAATATATGAAACTTGTGGTAGATCTTTTTTTCCTTCAATTATAATAAATATAAGTGTTAAGACTGTTGTTACACCTAAACGAAAACAGAAAAATATATAATTAAAAAAAATTTATATATAAAGGAAAAAAGATTTCTACCTAAATTAATACGATCATTCGTTGCTTCACGATTTAACCAAAGACCAACCCATGATAAAAATACAATGAGTACACATGGTATATATAATTGAATTAAAAAATAACCCACATGACGACGAAGTGCAAATACAACGTATATTATTGATCGAGTTCCTATATAGAAATATTCTTGTCTCGAGTATAGGAATAATATAACAAATGTGATAGAAGACATTTTGAATAATTGAAAATATGAAAGTTTAATTTATATATAGAATTGTACAAATGTGCCTAGTTTTTAATGTTTTCAATTGCAAAATTATTGAAGATTGAAATTAAAAACAATTGAAATCAATTTTAATTTTTAAAAACTCGTAGCTTCGAGAAATTTTTCCAATCAAAATAGAAATGAAAAAAAAAGTACAATAGAACATCATAGATTTATTGTTCCAGAATAACAAGTGATTAGTTGATATATCAATAGATGAAAAATTCTCTAGTATCTGTCAAAAAGAATGAATTCCTTCAATTACTTTACTAACGAGAAAAATAAATCGGTTACATGAATTTCGGACCGAGCTCAAATTTCTCTTATTAATTTTCCTAAAAATTCGAAATCCTAGTATAAAAACTTGGTACACTTCGTAGCATTTAGCGGCGTGTATTTTCAATAAAATATGATCCTGCTGACCAGTCTGCTTTGATCCTTTTAGACTCCAGAACTGTAGATTGATCTACGTGTGTGCTGTTGATAAGTATTTTTTAATGAAAATGAATACCACTAAGCACTATAGAGTGATCAATTATTCATAAAAATGAAGCTTTTTATGATGATAGATGAGAGGAATTTGGATCGAATTTTTAAACTCTCAAATAAACTTGAATTTAACGTTATGAAAATCTAATATTTAGTACTTGTCACTTTGTTAGATATCTCAATTAATAAACTAACAAAATCGATTATTTGCAAAAATAAATAACAACACAATTTTGGTATAGTTATAAATAGAATAAGCATACTACTATTTTGGACTGTATTGCTATAAGACATTAATATCTATCTCAGAAAAGAATATGTTTGACGACTCTTCAATAAACTTGACAATATGAAAAGTTGTTGAACAATGATAAACATGCTCAGAATATGTAGAAAATATAAACTTGTAAAACTAGAGAGAATTATTCATTAACAGTTCTTTTT